TGTATTTTAATTATATTCTGTTGACTTCTAAGTTTTCTTAGGGAGTATCTACAAGTATTCCTTATTTAGATTTATTTACATTTAGATAGCTTATACCACCAGTTAGCATTCTGGTAGACTGATTTTATTATAGATTTTGAGAAAAAAAATGACTATTTTACTGAAAAAGTGAGGTGTTGAGGGGAAGCTGTGGAGTTAGACTTGGGTGTGGGTCCAAGCTCTGCTGCAAGCTGTGTGACTCTGAGCAGTTCCTTAACTGCTCTGGGTCTTGATTTCTTTTTATTAGATTATGATTACCCCCCGGCTTGTAACCCTCATGAGATTATGCTTTTTCAGCCCAGGTAATCTGTGACCCATGCTTGTTAAGTCAGAGCTATTTCTAAATGGTCGCAAAACCACATAGAGGGGCATTTAAGACGTGGAACAGGAGCTGAGGAGATGGTTAAGTTGGTAAAGAGCTTGCTGTGCAGGCATGGAGACCTGTGATCAGATCTCCAGCCCCCACGTGTGATAAAAAAGCCAGGCACAGTGGTATACAGCTATATATAACCCCAATGCTGTGAGTGGAGGCAAGAGGATCCCTGGAGCTCACTGGCCAACTAGTCAAATTGGTGAGCTCCAGGTTCAGTGAGAGACCCTCCCTCAAAACATAAGACAAGCAATCGACGAAGACAGCCAGTCTCTGGCTTTACATGTAGGCATACACATGTGTGCACACAACTGCTCATGCCTATAGATGAACATGTACACATGCACCCAAAAAAACAAAACTAAACCCCAAAACAAACCCCACCCCAAAGAACAAAGGAAAATAAGGCTTGGAACAGTTAGTTGGTCTTGCTGTCCGGAAGGAATTCTGGCTTAGTGAGGAGCTGGGGCATGTGTGTCTGGTTACGGTTCATTTAGTGCTTGGATGAAGATTTAGGAACAGATGGAACGGCCAGATGGCTCTGCAGGTAAAGGCACTTACCACATGCCTAACGATTTGAGTTCATCTCTGGGACCCGCATGGTAGAACTGACTCTCAAAAGGTGTCCCCTGACCTCCACATGTGGCACTGTGGTATGTGTGCCCCTCCCCCAAATATATAAATGTAATAATTATGAGAGAGGAACAGAAAAGGAATTTAAAACGGAAGAGGTAGAACTCATTCGTTACATGCATCAGAGTAAAGTACATTTGAGTGATACTGGATTTTTTGAGACAGGCTTCCATTTACCCCAGGCTGGCTTCATTTACCCCAGGCTAGTTCACTGAGGCCTTGAACTTCTAATCCTCCTGCCTTGACTCTCAAGTACTAGGATTACAGATGTGTTCCACAAAGTGTGGTTTATATGGTGTTGGGGCTCAAACTCAAGGCTTCACGCATGCTAGACAAGCATTCTACCAACTGAGCCCCAGACTGATACTGGAAGATTCCTGGGAGAAGCTTCCAGCACAGTTGAGCCTGCAGCCCTCGGGCTTTGTCAGGAAAGCCCTGCTCTCTGGAGGAAGAACTCTGGTCACTGCTGGCTGGTCACTGCTGGCTGCTCTCTGTTTCTGGGTGGATCCTCTTTCCCTTAGTGGAATTCTGATTCCTGGACAGGAGAAAAGAATTGTGAGGGTTTTCGAGGTGAAGGCAGGGGGATTAAATGGCAGAGGTGAGGGTGGAGGTCGTTGCAGTGCAGAAAAGCTGTTGGCTGAATTCTTGCCATTTTATGCCCAAATTTTATTCTGTGGATGTGGGTCTCTTTGATTTTATGAAAGATACTTAAAAAATTATCTTTCCAAAATGTGATATGAAATTGCTTTCCTGTCTGTCTTCACTGACCTTGAGTTTCTTGCTCTAGTCAATAGCATCTCGCAGTGTTGGAACCTGCAGTCCTGCAGCTTTGGACTGCCCATTATTGTTTGTTGATTGTTGTTGTTTATTTGTTTGAACTTGCCAGCCCCTGCCAAGGCCTGGACTAGTTTGCGTAGAACTTTATCTCTCCTCTTCCTGGTTCCATTCCAGTGCTCTCTCTCCTCGTTCCACTGAGACCTGGACAGCGGCCCTCCTTGCCTCTGGACAGTGATTCTTCATGAAGCTTCTTTCAGATGATTAAATGCCCAGGAGACCTCTCTTACTCAGGGTTTTGCTTACCTTCCCAATTATGACCCATATGAACTGGAAAATTCCAGAGGGGAACAATTTTTCAGTGTTAGATAGTGCACTGTTCTGAGTGGCATGAGATGGCGTGGCGGCTCTCCAGCCCCACCTGCCGAGGACACAACTCCTCTCTTTGCCTAGTGCATCCACGCCACCTTCACCCCCCACCGGTCCCTTAGTCTTAGCTCATAGATGAGCTGTCACAGCATTGGGGTGCTTATGTTAAGTAACCCTCATTTTTGTTAACAATGACTCCATAGTGCAAGAATTGAGTTGTTGGGAATTCACACCTGCCAAAGAGAAGCCTTCCAGTGTTTCCTTTAGGAGACAAGCTGAAAGTTCCTCACCAAGTAAGGAGAAGAAAGAACTGAAATCTGAGGCGGCTGCGCTCTACGGTGAGAACAAATCTGTTCACGGAACTGTGACGGGGAAAGAAACCTGCGCTACCCTTTGCCGCTGCATCTCAGGCTGCGAGGTTACGGCCTCTGTGCGTGTGAGCACACAGTTGAGGCGGGAGAGACGATTCCAGGTCTGTCTGGACAGGAGACAACAGCACAAATGGCCCCCAACTGAAAATAGCTCGCCTTGGGATTTTTGGGGTACTGTTAAATGCGTGTGCCTCATGATATTTTGCACTGGGTTTATGGGGGTGCAATGTTGTCATAAATGGGTTTAGAACACTGCTGTATCTCACAGAAGAAACCAGACCAACCTTCCTGGACAGCGTCTAGGTCATGACCACGGGAACTCTTGTTTACTTCCCTTCTCCCTTCCTCTTGGTAGACTAAAAGGAACGTGTGTGGCAGGTTCTAAGTTAGACTCTGAGCAAAGGAGATGTTGGGCTTTGCGTCTGGGCTGGCTTTGGCAGAGGACAGAGGCCAGGCAGTCCTGGATTCGATCCCCCACTCAGTCATTCTTTTGGGGGACAATTGTATGTTTTCACGATGTACAATGTGCTGTTTTGATTTGAGTATCTGTTTTGAAGAGATTAAGGTAAGGCAACTACAAAGCCCTGACTTCACGTACTTCGATTTCTGTGCTGACATTTAACATTAACATAAGAGTGGCTCTTGGCAATTCTCAGGACATACTGCATTGTTATTAACTCCAGCCACCGCTGTAGCCCCCAGCTACCACTGTTCTATCATCGGCTTCTGTAACTTCAACCTTCATAGATTCCACAGGAGTATTTGTCTTTGGTCCTGGCTCGATTCTTTCCAGCTGTGTGGCTTATCACATTGTCTTATGAAAGATGCTCCCCTCCTTTGAAAACAAGGAGATAATGGTTCCTGGTTCCTGTTCTAGGTTAGAAGTGATTGCTGGGGACTTAAAAGTTTGCCCAGTTTAATTTGGTGTCCATCATGATGAATCTTTAGGATGTTTATATAAAAGAGCTTTAATTTAGTCAACTCCATTTAAACATTTCCTTTGTTTTTATTTTATGTGTGTGCGAATGTTTTGCATGAAAGTGTACCACATGTGTGCAGTGCCCATGGAGGCCAACAGAAGGTATATGATCCCTTGAAACTGGAGTTACAGATGGTCCTTAGCTACATATGGGTGCTGGGAACTGAACCTGGGTCCTTTGCAAGAGCAGCCAGTGATCTTAATCACTGAGACATCTTTCCAGCCCCTAAATTCAGTTCGCTCTGTTGCTTGGAGACATTGGAGATCCTTTAATCTGTAGACTATTCGGACAGCTTTCCATTCCCTTCCCTGTTACCTAGAATGCAGGTACAGCTCCCATAGCGGAGAGCCTGGACTAGTGGAGGCCTGGTGGTCTAGAAGTTTGTTTCTGTTTATGTGACAGTCCAGCTAGGTGTGGCCCAAAGCAGCTGTGGGGCGAGGTGTGGAGTCAAGGACTGGGGCACCATCTCCACGGTTTTCATGTGGCTTTTGGCTCTTAGTCCAAAGAGACTGTCCCAACCCTGATCAGCATGAAGAGAAGAGGGGGCTACCCACAGCCTCTCCCTCCCTCCACTTATGAGGGGATAAGCATAGTCTCATGTGTGGAGGACATTGTCCATGTGTCTAGATAACAGTCCAGTTCCTGTGTGAGAAAAGAGGCTGAATGGGGGTGGGGTGCTGGTGGTGTCTGCTTCAGTGTCTGGGGTGACGTGCGCATCCTTTTAGGAAGGTCACAGACCTGGAAGGCGTTCTGATATACCATGGTGGGAGGACATCAGAGGAGAGGGAGAGAGGAGAAACAAGAGAGAGAGGAGGAGGAAGATGGGGAGAAGTAGGGAAGGGGGAGGGGGAGGGGGGAGGGGGGAAGGAGGAGGAGGCTTGGAGGTTGTGCTTTGCTATTACTTAGGCTTTCAAGAATTTGTACTCATGGGGAACCTGGTCTTCTCCTCTTGCTACATTCTAGGTATGTGGCATGGTGCTGGGGACTTAGACTTCATGGTCCTTGTTTTTCACCTGGGGTGTGGGGGTGGGGGAAGGATGTGTCACACAGATGAGGGAACTCTTGGTTGTATTTTGTGGTAAAGTCTGTGATGCTCCTAGGAAAAGAGCTAGGCATGTGGGGAGTGTGTTTGTGCATGTGCGTTGGTTTATGTGTGTGTGTTGGTATGCATATGTATATGTGTGTGTTGGTTTATGTGTATATGTGTGTGTGTTGGTGTGTATACGTGTATGTTGGTGTGTGTATGTGTGTGTTGGTGTGTATATGTGTATGTTGGTGTGTATATGTGTGTGTGTGCTGGTTATTTTGTGTGCAGGGTGGGGTAAGCTCACTGGGAGCAAGGATTTAGTTGGGATTATGTCTATGTCACCTTAAAAAGCGAAGAGTCATTGGGAGCGGCACTAACTCAACCGATGTTACAGGTGCTGTGTCTGTGTTTCCACATTTTGTCTGTTTCTCTCCTAGAAACTCCCCAGGCTGCACTGGGAACCGATGTGACTCCAGGCAATGCTGCCCCCACAGGAACTGTCTCTTTACCTGCTGGCTTCACTGGGCTTCCACTTCTACTCTTTCTATGAAGTTTACAAAGTCTCCAGAGGTAAGCTTTTCTGATACCCTGTCAAAGAAGTGGGCCAGGAGTGTCTGAGGTGGAAGATTCTGAGGTGGAAGACGCTCCCGTGGAGAATGTGACTGGGCTCGGCCTCATTTCCCCAGATGTGGATGATTTGAATCCCTGACGTGAGCCCAGGAAGTTGTGTCTCCCGTGCTGGGTCTGTGGCTCATCTTCCCCAATAACTGCTGCACTTCTTAGTGCTGGAAGCTCAGAGCACCTGATCTGCGGATGAGCTGTGTCCTCAGGCCCTGCCTAGTAGGAGAGTTGGATTCAACTTCTCTCCAAGGCCACGAAGGGAATTTACAGAAAGAATTCAAAGTAAACTCATTTCCCTCTCTGCTCCCTTGTTCATAGACGTCTCTCAGACACATGGAGCCGTCCAAGGTGTTAGTGATGCAGTCCTCTCGGCTCCACCTCCACATTTTTCAGTAGTGAGAACCAGGATCTTGTGCCGCGTGCCAGGCAAGGGCTGTACCGCTGGACCATCTTCTCAACCCTCTTCGTTTCCTGTTTATTTTGAGATAGGGTCTTGCTAAGTCACCCAAGCTGGTCTTGAACTCACACTGGAGCCCTGGTTGGCCTTGAACTCACAACAATCTTCTTGCCTTGGCCTCCTGAGTGATGGGATTAGAGGCAGAAGCCACCACACTGGGCTTGCTGAGCTGTCTTAAAGAGGAGCCGGAGCCAGGCAGGTGTGGTGGCTCAGTGGGTCAGTCGAGCCATCTCAGATGCATTTGGTATATGATTTACAATAGAGTTAGATAATTTCCCCCGCAAACAGTCAACTACACAGCCCTGAATGTCTCCCTGTTGGATTACAATGCTGTCCTGACCGTGTATTCAATCCTTACACTGCTGCTTGGCTTCATTCATTTCTCAGCGTGCTCAGGCCAGAGCCACACCGGTTCCAGTTTTATAAACCATCAAAGTCTTTGGTGGAGTGAGTTCCTACAGGTTGTTATTTCTGGATCTTTCCCAGTGATTCTTACTGGTTTATTTTTCCTGGTACATATTTGAAATTGTCAAGCTTTCCACCCCGCCCCTCCTCAATTCAGAGTTTTAATTAGAATTTCAGTGAGCTTAATTCGTAAGTAGTTGGTATGTTCTAACACTGTGTGCCTCCGTTTAGGATGTGGTGACGACTTTGCAGTTATTAGGTCCTTCTACTTTCCTTAATGAAGTTCACGGATCATTCCAAAAGTCTTATCAATATGATTTCGGAGTCTCTTCCTTCGTTTGTGATTGGGCTGTTTTCCAATTATATTTTCCGTATTTTCTAGCTGATTATTTCTGGTTTGTAGTATGGATATTTATGTCGGCTTATCTATTCCACCTTCCATCAATTTACTGAGATACCCACTCACTTGTTGGACTGGACCTTTCTCTGTTTCGCTAACACCAGCTGCAGAGGACAGCACTGGCCAGTGAGAGACCCTGTCTGAAAAATAAAGTGGATGATATTCAACAGCCAAGGTAGTCCTCTCTCTCTCTCTCTCTCTCCCTCCCTCTCTCTCACGCACACGCGCACGCATGCACATACACTCATACATACTTACACACACACACATACCCACACCTGCACAGATATGAACATGCACACACATATACACAAACAAACACATAAAAAGCTGTCAAGGGTTGAATTTTATCTACTTTAAGGCATCTATTCAGAAGATTATCTGATTTCTTCTTTTGACCTACTAGCTTGCTATTTTAAGGGAATCAAGTTTCAGTAGCAATCCAGAGGCTCCTGCTACCCACCCAGGGTGACTATACATGTTTGTTTGTTTTTTGTATTATTTTGTCTTTTTGAGACAGGGTCTCCCTGTAGCCCCAGCTGTCCTGGAACTCACTGTGTAGATCAGGCTGGCCTTGAACTCACAGAGATCCACCTGCCTCTGCCTACTGAGTGCTGGGACTAAAGATGTGCACCACCATGCCTGGCAGCCGCTGCATTTTAAATACAGTGCTTTTCTTTAAGTTGAAAAAAAATATGTAGCTGTTTCTAAGGGAGATTGGTGGGACTGTAGTGTCATCCTCAGATCTTAAGATCGGTACACTACAACTTTTACCATAGAAATGGGGAGCCCCTGCTCTGTAAGCTGTTTTGTAAGTGGCATATGAAGCCTGTGTCCTTGCTACTTGAAGCCTCAGCCTGAAGTCTCTTCGGAATCAGAGTCATTGAAAACTTTCCAGCATCTTTCTGGGTTGTTGGCATATTTAGGTATTTTTCTTCATAAGCCAGTTTGAGCCCTAATCTTTTCCACATCACTAAGCTTTTGCTTGCGTGGTCTATAGTTGTATCATTTTCTTAGAATGTTCTGGATATTGTATCCTCTAATTTTACTTGTCTTTAGAAATTTTTCAGATTTATCCATTTAGTAGGGTTATTCCCTTTCTCAAAGAACAGATTTTGGATTGATTTATGAACTCTAGCAGTTTTTCTATGTTCCGTGAAGATCATTTTCTAGTGAACAGTAACTGGTCTGGATCCTGCTGACCCCACGGCTGCAGAGCATGCCTTCTGTGCAGTAACTGCCCTGAAAAGTCACCGTTTATCAACATTTGCACAAACCCAGCTCTGCTTTCTGCTGTTCTGAGTTTTCATTTCACTTAATCTTCATTCTTTAATCTTAGTGATTTGTCATGAATGTTTCTTTAAATACACTCTCTCTCTACCGTTCTTTGGGAGCCCTAGTATTTTTTAAAGAGCCTTGTTTTAATGGTGCAAAGTTTCTATTTGCTTTGCCACCCCCACTTTCTTTGTTTTTGTACAGCAGGTGTGCCCGAAGTGGAACACAGCTGCCGTCACACTTGCTCACCTTGTGCCTTTTACCTTTTCCTGCACCTCACCTACCCCATGGGCTTAGTCATTACTACCCGGGCTGTGAGAACAGCTCATGCAGCTCACTGTAAGCTGACTCTTACACAGTCACACAGTACATGGACCTCTCACAGCAGAAGGGCTTGGTGAGGAGGGAAGGACTTTTGTGATTAGAGGATTTATTTGCAAGAGGGCTAGAGAGAGCCCATTCTAGGGTAGGGGAAAGGGCAGAGGTTCTGTTCTTGAACAGGTGGTTTTGCCCTGGGAACTGGGCCAGTCAGCTGACAGTGGGTGGGGCCACCATGGCCAGACCACCTGTCCCAGGGTGTTGACTGTGCGTGGCCACGGTTCCTGGTGGTGTCGACCCTCTCCTTGTCACCCATGGCTAGTGTCTCAGGAAATACCCAGGTCACTGTCTTCCTGTAGGAACTCCAGGCCTCCCAGCCCAGCCCCTTTCACACCAGCATTAACATCTCTTTCTGTATTGAATCTGGTCCTTAAGGTAGATGATGGGGTTCAGGAGCAGTACCCCAAATACAGCACTGTGGTGGCTGAGAAAACAGCAGACAACGTGGAGGGCCTTCCTTGCACTCTCTTATTAATTGATTTAATATTTATTTATTCATTTTGGGTTTTGACAGGGTCTATCTATGTAGTCCTGGCTGGCCTGGAACTGGCTGTGCAGACCAGGCTATTCTCAAACTCACAGAGATCTGCTTGCCTCTGCCTCCTGGGTGCTGGGAAGGCCTGTGCCTTTTAAAAACTATGCCTGACTTTTCTGACTTAGTTTTTGAGATACAGTCTCCCACTGAACCCAGAGCTCACTGATTAGCTGGTTCATTAAGACCCCAAACCCCTCCTGTCGCTACCTCTCTAGTGCTGTGGTTACAGGTGTTCACTGCTACACCTGGGTTTTTATTTTATTTTTTAAATATGTTTGTTTCACACGCATGAATGTTTTGCCTGCATGTATCTATGTGCATTATGTGCCTGCAACACCTGAAGAGGGCAGAAGAGGGTGTCAGATTCCCTGGAACTAGAGCTATCATTGTTAGCAGCCATGTAGGTGCTGGGACTTGAACCTGGGTCCTCTGCAAGAGCAGCCAGTGCTTTTAACTGCTGGGCCATCTCTCCAGCCCCCACACTTGACTTTTTAAATGGGTGCTGGGGGTCTGAACTCAGCAAGTGCTTTACCAACAAAGTCATCTCTCCAGTCCTACTTAATTAAAAAAAAATATTTTTATTTTATGTGTATGAGTATTTTGCCTGCATGCATGTCAGTGCACCCCTGTCATGCAGTGCCCATGGAGGCCAGAAGAAGGCACTGCATTCTCTGGAACTGGAGTTATGGACAGTTGTTGTTAGAATTTGGGGTAAGAAGGGACATGATAAAGTAGAAGTGAAATCCAACCTCAACAGAAACCTTCCTGAGGGTATGGAGGTTGGGGCATTGGGGTTGGGGGAGGTCTAGGGTTTATAGATGGACCCAGAAAAGCGGCCATGCCTCCCTGGAATCTCAGAAGGTGGGTGCCTTTCCAGAATTCCAGAAGGCGGGGGTGGGGGGTATGCGTCCTTGGGAGATGCTCCTCCCTTGGGATCAGGGAAGGTCAGATAGGAAGTTCTGATAGGGGATTTGATTAGGAATCACATCTACAAGAAGGCTGATAAGAAACCACATGTCCTTTCTTAGGATGTATTTCTGTTCTGGAGTGGGGGGCCGGGTGGACAGATGGTCAGTGCTTTCAGCATGTTAGGCTGGCTTTCCTTCAGTTGTTAGCTGCCTTGTGGGTGCTAGAACTGAACCCCGGTCCTCTGCAGGATCAGCCAGTGCTCTTAACCACTGAGCCATCTCTCCAGCCCCTACTCAATACTTGGACAAACCTTGTGGGTGAGAGCAACCTCTAGTGTCTGGTGCCCCAGCCTCTCAGCCCTGTTCCCCTATCTGTGCTCCCTGCTGGACCCTGCTGGAAGCACGGGCTTGTCAGTGATCTGCATGGTGTTCAGAGGGGTGGCCCTTGTGAGGTCTGGCCTTCTTGCAGTTTGCTGTTTTGCATCCTATTTACATATCTGATTTGTTTTTACTGGGTTATTTCTCATTCTCTGGGAAAGAAGCCCCAAGCCTCAAGTGTCATGGAAAACCTGTTCTTCATCACATCTCTCCTGTGTGATAATCTGCTTATGAATATTTGAGAGTAGCTTGCCATTAAATTCTATCTCCAGAAGCCCGTCTTTTCTGTTCCCTCTATCTCTCCATTTATTGCCACAGTCTGCTGTGTCCCTGCGCTTCCAAGAGAAGTGCGGGCTGATTAGAATTTTTCAAATGCATAGAAACAGGAGGACATGACTGTGTGTGTGTGTGTGTGTGTGTGTGTGTGTGTATGTGTGTCTGTTTCCTGATTACCATGTATGTATGTGTGTCTCCTTCCTGATTTTTCTCTGTGTGTGTGTGTGTGTGTGTGTCTGCTTCCTGATTATCATGTATGTGGTATTTGTCTCCTTTTCTTGATTATTCTGTGTATATGTATGTGTGTCTCCTTTCCGATTATCCTGTGTGTGTGTGTGTGTGTGTGTGTGACTCCTGATTGTCACTCTTGGATGACCCCACCCCAAGTGGAAGGTTAGAGGTTTTAAGTAATTGACTTATACAGCAGATTCACTGGCAGTGATTAGAATGTGGGTGGATGGGAATCGATGCAGCCTTTTGCAAAGAGGGAGCACAAACAGATGCCCGATAATCAGGGCTCATGGTTGGAAACTGCGTTATTTCTGTGTTCTCAGGCTGTTTTGGGAAGTGGATCTGGGCTGTAGAGGAGAACACTGTTTCAGCCTGAGGTCTTTGATGGCACGGGGGTGCCCAGGCTCAGTCCTTCATGGCATGGGGGGGGGGTTCCCAATGGCATGGGAAAATTGAGCATAGAAACAGGCTGTCCAAAGAGTGAGGCTGTGGGGTCCTGCCAGCAGCCTCACAGAGGTCCTGAGGGCTGTCGCTTTTTGTGTGGCAAATGATGCAGGTTCTCAGCATCTGTTTGGTATTGATCAGTACAGTGTCACATCTGTGAGCTCTTAGCTAATTTAAGACTGTCTGGGTGGTGACTCATGCCTATGATCCAAACGCTTGAGAGGCTGAGGCAGGAGGATTGCTCTTGTGTGAGGCTGGGAGTCACAGAGCTGTCTCTTTAGTCATCATGGAGGGCACTCAGCCTTAGGAGAACCACTGTCTCCTGTTTTGTGGTTGTTTTGAGACAAGGTCTTAATCTTGCTATACAAATATTTTAAAAGTAATTTTATTGTTTACCTGTAAGCATGCCTACTGTCCTGACCCGATTCCATTTTATAACTCCTTGTTAATGCTCTGTCCTACTGTGCAGTGGCAGCCACTCCAATCTTGAGTCAGTCTGTGCAGGGGGGCCTGGCACCAGTACTCCCTGCTTCCCTATGTCGGGCACCTTCTCCCTTGACCCCCTTTCCCTTTGTGACCCTCCTACAAGTTGAGGGGTTATTCCCATCAGCCCCAACATACACTTCCTAGAACTTAGGTCACAGCATAGGGAAGGGGTCAAGAAATGTGCTGATGCGTCCACAGGGCACATTCTAACTTCTTCCGTCGCTGCTTCTGTTCAGACCCAGTGTTGTTTAGGTTTGTGACTAATGGAGACTTTTTCTTGTCAGAACATGAAGAGGAACTGGATCAAGAATTTGAACTGGAGACGAGCACTTTGTTTGGAGGATTGAAGAAGGTACGGGGTAGCTAACGATCAGCCCCCTGAAGTTTCAAGCCTCATATCCGCGTTTACTCACTTTTTGCGGCACAGAGTGGAAGTGTGCTCAGTGGCGATGTGAGGTTCTGGTCCATTTCTGTGGTCAGGTGGACTGTGTTGTGTTGGATAAGGCATTTCCCTGGCTTTATAATCTTGGCCCTGTATCTTCATAACATACCAGAAACTTGACTATGAAACCTCACTGGTTAGTGCATTTTCTACTTTGGTACGGCTCTAGACGGCTCTTTTCAATTTTTTGAAATTTTAGACAGGGTATCATGTAGCCCAGGCTAACTCTGAACCCACTCTGTAGCCAAGGATGACCTTGAACCTCTGATCCTCCCATCTCTACCTCCCCAGTGTTGGAATCTCAGGGGTGTACCTCCGCCCACGCTGGTTTTATGTGGTACTGGGGATCCAACTCAGGACTTCATCTAGGCTAGGCAAACGTTCTTCCAGCCGAGCTACACAGCCAACCCTCCCTATTTCTCTGTTTCTTGTTTTTGGAGAGAGAGTCCTGATATGTAGCCGAGGCTGGCCTTGAACTCATGGTAATCCTCCTGCCTCAACCTTCTGAGTGCTGGAACACTCAGCTTTCGGGACCCCTTTTTGATGTCCTCTTGTCACTTAGATTGAATGTGGCCCCTGTCCCTTCCTGTAGCAGCTGTTGGCAACCCCAGAGCTGCTTCCCTTCAGTCTCTGCACCCTGTCGTCAGCCGTGCCGCCGGCCGTGGAGCAGGCTGGGATTCCTTCCCGGGCATGCTATGGTGGCAGCCAGCTCCTTTGTCGCCTGCCACAGCTTGTGACCTTGTTTGCTTTGGTAGCAGGCATAGACTTGGCATCGTGACAGGAAGGACTTCCTTCCTGGGTGGGTCCTGGCCCCTCTTCTTCACTGGACTGAGGCTGGGTCCCCTTTTTCTCCCACCAGTACCCCCTCCCCCAGTTCTCATTCCTCCCCTGTCAGTGACCCCCGATCCATGTCAGTGCTGACCTGGATGGTAGGAGGTCCAGGGCTGGCTCACGGTGGGATTCAGGTCAAAGCCTCTTGTGAGCCCTGTATTTATTTTCCTGTTTCACTGTGTTTGAAGGGTGTTATCTGAGCACTGTGTTAGCTTGACTTGGGGTATGCAGTAAACCAGATCCAAGGCCAGCCAGGTTTGGGCATAAGATAGCGCTTTGCCTTCTAAACATCCCACTTCTTCACAGGTATTTTGAAGGCAGTCATTTCCAAAGTGCTTCTGTTCACCCTGTGCTGAGGTTTGTACCCAGGGAGATAGATGCAGGTTCTAGACTTACAACAAATTTACTTTGTGAGGCTGGTCTGTCCCCTCTTCCAGCCCTAGCTCTACAGAGGCATTGTGTTTGTATAGCCAGTGTTTGGCCCTAGGTGAGGTATCCTTCCTGGCTCTACCCACTGGACATTTCCATGAGAAATTGGATATGGGGTGGGAAAGTAGCTGTCAGGACAGTGCTTGCCATACAAATCTAATGACCTGAGTTCAATCCCTAGAACCACATAAAAGAGCCAAGCATAGGGCTGGTGAGATGGTTCGGCAGGTAAAGGCACTTGTCACCAGGCCTAATGGCCTGAGTTCAATCCCTGAATCCCACACAGTGGAAGGAGACAATGACTCCCTCCTACAAGCTGTCTTCTGACCTCTGTACGTGAGTGTTGTGGTGCGTGTGAGCTAGCATGTGTACATACATAATACTAGCAGTAAATAAATAAGGAAAGAAAGAAATCCAGGCATGGTGGGGTGTGTGTGGTGTGTGTATGTGTGTGTGTGTATGTGTGTATGTGTGTGTGTGTGTGTGTGTAAATAATAAAAAAGCAAGCAAGCCAGGCATGGTGGTATGTGCTCCGAGATATAGAGAGATGGCCCAGAGGTTAAGAGCACTGGGGGCTGGAGAAATGGGTCAGTGGTTAAGAGCACTGACTGCTCTTATAGAGGACCTGGGTTTGGTTCCCAGCACCCACCTGGCGGCTAACAAATGCTGTAACTCCAGTTCCAGGGGATCTAACATCCTCTCTGGCCTCCATTTCTGGCCTCCATAGGCACTGCACACATGTGGTGCACATACACACATGCAGGCAAAACACCCATACACATAAAATAAATAAATCTTAAATAAAAACCAAGGTGGACTGTGTTCTGAGGAAAGATACCTGGAGTTGACCTGCCCCCCCCCCCAATTGGATGTAAATTGGATTTGCATTCATGGTTCCTTTTCTAGATGTTTCTTATCCACAAGGGCTCCTTTTAGGATCATTGGTAAGAATGTAGGGTCAGTGGCTTGTGTCTGCTTCAGAGCTGAGGAGACTTGGGAGGTTTCTGCTCAGTGGGATTCGAGAAGCAAGGGGAAGTGACGCTGCAAGTCGCTCTGGGAATGTGGCACTAGCAGATCTCTTACTACACAGGGTGGTCTGCTTTCCCTGTGTAGAATCTTAGTTTGGGCATTTCAGATAATACAGAATTCTTTGCCAGAGGCAGAAATATGCAGGCCTACTATTTGACCAAGAGACTTGGCTGAAGAGAAGCGATTGTAAGGCAGTGTGAGATGTGAACACGGGGTCAGGCCCCAACACATTTTGGAGGGATTACAGTAAGGCAGGTTCAACCCCGTGGTGTGTCACCACGTGCAGACAAAGGGCATCTCCACTGCCTTCCTGGCTCCCATCACTCACTCCATCAGATTTTTCCAAGGCTCCAGGGTCTGGGAGATGACCTTTCGCAAGATTCTCCATGACAGCCCTCCTAACAGGGCCTGCAGTAGGGGGTACATATGTTCAGGCCACAACTGGCTTGGTGGGAAAGTTCTCAGTGCTCAGAGTTGCCCCTGTGGAGCCCCAAGGACTTGGTGTTGTGCTACCTGTCCAGTCTTTGTCCTCCTGACTGCCTGTCTATCTGTTTGGTGCTCCTGATTACCTGTCTTTCCACCGTCCTACCGCCCATTGTTTTTCAAATGGGGTGGGTTGGCTTGGAGTCCTAGAGTTACAGAAGAAATTCTGAGTCCTGTTGAGTGCCCAACAGATGAAGAAGCCTGACGCCCTACCCTAAGCAGCTGGGTGCTCCTTGATGAGCATCTCTCTTCCTGAAAGCTACGGCAGGGGCCTGGGTCTAAATTCTAATCAAAAGAGGATATCAGAGTGGGCATGGTGGTACACAACTTCCCTTAACAGATGATCACTGAGTGCCCATTGGGTAAGAGGCTCCCACTGGATGCTGAGTGCTGGGTGCTGGGTGCAGGGTGCTGGTGGTGCTGTGGCACTCCAGGCTCAGTTTCTGTCTTCCCTGGGCTCGGAATATGGAAGAATGGTGAAGGGATGGTGAGGAAGTAATGCAGCCACTGAGCTGGGATGGCAGGGTGCACGTAACCGTTCCGAGGTTCGCCACTGAGGTGCAGGCTGGGAAATGGGAAGGAAACACTGGGAAAAGAACGACACCTGGGGTTGGGGAAGATGGTTTGCCTTGGTTAGAGGGCGGAGTGTGAGGAGGAGGGTGAACCCAGGTCAGCCAGGGCCAGGTCACCTATGCTGTTGGGTACAATAGGTGGAGCCTAGATTGTGTTCAGCAAGCAGGGAGCAGCCATGAAGGGTCTTAGGAGTCATTTTTCCCTATGTTCTCCCAGAAGAGCTCCTGTTTCTCATGCCCTGACACACCTCTTCCTCCTCCCCCTCCCCTTCCTCCCCCTTCTCCTCCTCTGCCTTCCCCTCCCTCTCCCCTCCTCTTTCCCCTCCT